AGACAAATGATCTTATTAGCTGTGACCCACTCTTCCTCATCCTCACAGGATAACTGCCATTTAGTGTTTTATACATCACTGTCCTGACCTATTTTCAGCACAGCCCAGCTCCAGCACTTCTGTTTCACATGCCTTCTGGCAGAGTATGTATAGTAAGTGTGTATGTATATGTCTGCTATGCATGCTTTGTATGAAGTATATACAAATGGAGTAGAATAGAGGGTGAGATAGAGAAAAGCATGCGGGACTGAAGAAATAAGAGAATAATGAGAGGGCTAATGAGTGGCCCAGTGGCAAGGAGGAGATGGAAGGATGGATGGATGGATGGGCAGATGGATCCAGATGGATGGATAGGCAGATGGAGGGGGCAGAGGAAGACAGAGGGGACAGAGAGACAGAGTGGACACAAAGAGAAGGCAGAGGGGACAGAGAGAGACAGAGGGGACAGAGACAGAGGCAGAGTGGACAGAGAGAGGTAGAGGGGACAAAGAGGGAGGCAGAGTGTACAAAGAGAGAGAGGCAGAGGGGACAAAGAGAGAGGCAGACTAGACAGAGAGAGACAGAGGGAATAGAGAGGCACAGATGGGGACAGAGAGAGAAACAGAGAGGCGGAGAGGACAGAGAACTGCAGGCTGGACAGTAGTGAGACAGAGTGGACTGATAGAGAGGGCAAGCAGAAACGGCACTGCTAGCCCATGTACTAGAGGAGGAGACTGTAATCCCTCCCTCTCAACTAAACAACCAAAACAAGCTCACCAACAGCCTTCCCTAGCAACAGACCAGCTGGGAATTTGATTTGACAGAGAAAGAGTGTGTGTGTGTGTGTGTGTGTGTGTGTGTGTGTGTAAAAAATAACATGGCACAAAGAAGGTAAATGATCGGATGTAACAGCAAGGGAGCAGAGAGACAGAGAGAGAGAGAGAGAGAGAGAGAGAGAGAGAGAGAGAGAGAGAGAGAGAGAGAGGGATCACCAGCTGTTCTCTCTCTTCCCGATTCCTCTTGCTCTCCACATAGAGAGAGAGAGAGAGATTATGAGTCAGAGATGGACAGTGGGAGTTAGAGGGAGAGTAACAGTGCTGCCTGCCGCACTGACGTACTGATGTACTGTGACTAAAGGCTGAAAGGCTATAGCTGGAGGACAGGGAGTGACGGATACGTAAAGAGTGGAACACAGGAAGAGAGTGATGCCCTCACAAATGGTGGGAATGTTTGGAGAGGAGTGAAGGATAGAACAAAGGAAAGATGGCTAGAAGAGGTGAAAGGTGGAGATATTTATTGGAATTGAGTGGCAGAAATTGAACAAGAGTGGAGTGATGTGTCAGATCTTTTTTTGAAATATAGAAAGTCTGAGAATACAAACATGCACAACACTAGCATTCTTTAAAATAAAGGTGACAAAGAGAGTTTTTTTTGTGTAATATAATCGAAGAACCACTTTCACTGAATCATATGCCAAGGCCAAGAAGTGCTTAATATCCTTTATTTTAGGAGCGCTAGTTAGCAGCATTCATACTTACAAAAATGCGCCACTAAGCATTATTTGAGGGGTGCCATAGAATAATAAGTTTTGGTTCCCTAAAGAACAATGTTTGAAAAAGAGATATGTAGGTGTGAAGCAATTTTAAAGGGTTGTAAAACTTTCATGTAGAGGCTTTACATTACGTGGAGATTCTTTAAACTTAAAAAAGGTTCTTCACACTCTCATATCTCATTTCCAAACATTGTTCTTTAAAGAACCATTCAGTGAAAGGTTCTTTAGGGAACCAAAAATGGTTCTTCAATGGTGCTGTGTAAAGAACCCTTTTTGACACCTTTATTTATGAGTGCACTGTCGGTTTTCATCTGGTCATACAAGCACAGAGTGAGCACAAAAAGAGAAGCAAAGAAAAGCCCTGCTGGATGAAGTAATCCTCCATGGAGTATTGATACCATACCCAGGTAATGGGCAGACAAATGACAGCTGTAAGCTACGCTAACACAAATATGAAAGGAAATTCAAAGGGACTGCTTGAGCTCATCCAGTGTTATTGATTCAGACTGGTCATGTGAGAGCTCAGATAGAGAAGAAACTTGATAGTGCACAATCCTGCAGGTCACAGACAGTGATATACACACAATCTCTCTCCTGCTGCATTTCTCTCTCTCTTTCAGTTAAACATACACATACATAGTGAAAAAGAAATACGCAAAAAACTATAGTAGCCAAACTATCAAGCTGGAGTAACACTTTATGTACGCTATTATATATGTATTACTTTTGCCAATATATGGTAACACTGTCTGTATAAGAAACTATGAAAATATTCACGTAACACATTATTATGCATTCATAAGGCCTTATAAATATAACTATAAATAACCTTTATAATGTTATACTGCTTTCATAAGGCACTACTAACATAGCAATAACTATTTATAAACTTTATTACACATTATATCCATTTAATATGCATTACAAATTGTTAATATGATGCATTATATGTAGTGTTCATAACATGTTATCAGAAACAAATAAACGTGTTTCAGCTTACATAGTGCATTATGACTAACAAACCTGTCTACTCATATTCACACGCTGAGCCATGCCACAAATTCTTTCAACAACTTATGAATTATACTTCACTGGAATTCAATACTAGCTTACAGTCTAACTAAAAGGTTTTGGGATTAGTACTAGTTTGGGAATGATGTGGCTTTAGTCAAAAAAATTCTCTCTTTACTTGGAGCTCACAAACACAACTTATAAGTTCTTATGATATGGTAATAATATAGTATGTCTATCATAGGCAAAAACAAGTTATAATATATTAAAATGGCTGTTAATGACATTTACAAAACTATTAGCTACTATTCCGTTTCAGAAAAGTACAATTCATGAATTGGTAAATAAAATCATGGCATGCCATGTTTTTGAGTAGACAGATGTGTTAGTTATAATGCACTATGAAAGCTGAGACTAAGTTTCTTGGATCTGGCAATATAATGTGTTAGCGATTTTCTACACTAGACCTGGAGAAACTCATCCACACCTTTATTTCTAGCAGGATTGATTACTGTAGCGGTCTCCTAACTGGACTCCCAAAAAAGACAGTCAAACAGCTTCAGATGATTCAAACTGCCAGAGTCTCACTAAGAGTAAAAGAAAGGAACACACCAGCCCCATTCTTAAAACCTTACACTGGCTACTAGTATGTTACAGCATAGACTATAAGGCACTATTACTGGTCTATAAATCGCTTAATGGTGTAGGACCAACGACTTTATCTGATATGCTGCAGCGATATGAGGCGAGCAGAACTCTCAGATCATTAGTAGTCAGTTAGTCCTGCCGAAGGTGAAGACTAGACATGGAAAAGCAGCGTTTAGCTACTATACTGCTTTTAAATGGAACCAGTTAATAGAGAGCAATAAGAGCCCTGACACCTGTGGGAAGTAGGCGTGTGCTGGAGCGGAATAAGCTGGAGCGGAATAAGAAAGATGTGGACATTACCATCATATTCGCATCTAGGCTTTTACATCTAGGCTGAAAACGTTCGTATTCGAGCAGCTCAGTTTAAAACACTATTAGCTTTAATGCACTTCTACCCTGTAGCGGTGCCTTATTATTAGAATTTCATTTTTAACTGGATTCTTAATTTATCGTTTATTTGTTCTTTTTGTAAATATTTACAGCCTTATGAATGCATTATAACATGTAAAGAATGTATGAATAGTTTCTCATAAAGAAAGTACTACCATATGCTGCCAAAAGTAACTCAAAGACAAAACTATGTTTAGTTTTGTTTATTATTAGAAATAATGTACACATGTGAAAATGACCATTTTTTTCAGTGCATGCTCCCAAATGCACATATACACAATTCTGGGCAGCATTTTTGTTACTTGCAGAGTGCAAGCATGAAGATCTGTGTGTGAGTGTGTGTGTGTTTGTAGTCTTATAGCTGCAAGCCATAGTGAGTCAGAACACCAAGCCTTCGAGATTCCGCTCCTCTGCTCCTTCCCTCTTGTCCTTTAGACATCTCCATATGCCATGCAGAGAAAAAAAACACCCCAGCACACACATTCCGACACACACACACACTTGTGTGTCCCCCTGTCACAGCCACACACCCTCGGTCACTGTCTCAGATGAAATATGTATGCATGTACCCCTACTCGACAGCATGCTCTTTTCTTCTTTCCATTGGATGTATAATTCAACCTAATGCATAATTCCATGTCTTCAGCATGCAGTGAGCTGGATCTCCAAAATCAGCCCCATCAATATTGGATAGAAAGAGAAAGCGCGGATGAATCACCTGCACTCTGACGGACGCCTCTCCAGCTCATTATCACTGATGGCTCGCAATAGAGCGCTTCCTGCAACCCACAGGGAAAATCTTTACTGCCACATCAAGGCCTACAATAGGACTGAATCTGCTTCCCCTTACCCATAGTGATAAGAACCTGAATGTGCCTCCAGCCAGCACTGCTGCTGCCTTTAACAGAGCTTTAAATTACTTTATTGGACGGCAGATTTACTTACTGTAGGTTAGTAACAGTGGTTCATTGCAATCATTATTTATTCAAAGCACTTGTTAACATATTCTAATGTGTGCTGCAATACAGCCCAGGCTGTGCCACAGTCAGATTCAATTGCTACTATATCTGGATGGAGATGTAGCTGCAGAAGCACTTCGCTCCAGTAGGCTTTAGTATGTCTGTCTGAAATAGGTCATCCTTACCTACCACTGCTGACAAGATGAAGCCTAATACAGCTTGCCTCCAGGGCAGCTTTTTCAATTGGGTAAAATCTGAGATGTTAGATAATCACTTTTATGAGCATTCTGCACAGTGTATGAACTCACAGCTTTCACCTGGGGTGCTTTCACACTAGGCCAATAGGAGCATCTGAAACACTGTCTTTAGCATCAGCCACATTTATATAAAGCTTGTTGTGAGATAGTATTTTACAGTGTAGAGCACAGACAGGAGCTGTCCAATGTACCAGCTAGACTCACCATCATGATTGGGGTTCCCCAGAGTCCAGGGCTCGTCTGAGTCGAAGTGCGTGTCTCCCCCGATGCCTGGCCCAGGGAAGTAGGCGTGTGCCAGAAAGCCCCCCTCTCCATCGAAGGGTGAGCTGTCTCCATGGAATCCGGAGGCGAATATGATGGTAATGTCCACATCTTTCTTATTCCGCTCCAGCTCGCTGTAGGGAACAGCCTCGAAACGCAGTGGCGTCACATTCTGCCACACCTCGAACGCCCGGCGGATGGCATCATGGGTCTCCTCTGCGCCCACCTTGGGTGTGACGTTCTTTATGCTGGAAAAGACAGAGGAGATGAGATGGATATGGAAGACACTGGATGGACAAAAAGCATCTCATATTATTCCCCAACACATTTATTCGCTAAGACCGGGACTGTCACGATTAAACTCATATACTCATATACTCAATCAAAAAAAAAAAATGCAACCAATTAAAATGTACCATCTTAAAAAATCAGCAATGGTTAGTTGGCAAGTTGCATGATGGCAGTGCATGTTTTAAATTCTCCTACTGGGCTCTCTTACAGTAAGAAACAAAGCCTGATGGATAGACCTATATTAATGCATTTTATATATATATATATATATATATATATATATATATATATATATATATATATACACATTTTTTTTCCAAAGGTTCTGAAAGGCTACACTTGGCTTGTTACTGTTAAGTCATTTTTATTTTTGACCTTTTTTTTACCCCAAAACTCTGATTATTCAAATAATTGTCAAAATAATTGAACAACTACTTGGTTACTCAAATTACTGATGACAGCCCCAGATAAAGCAATAGCACTTCTACAGAATATCACAGTTAGACCATGTTTGGTCACACCATGGTGCCTCCAGTATATCTCAGCTCACCATGTTTAATCCCACCATGTAGCAGATGTATTGTATTCAATGAAAATTGAATAATATTACAAAGACTAATAAAATGTTCCAAGACAACATTCAATATAACAAACATATTGCACATGCTCTGAGTAGTTTATGGGATTCCTATGATTCCTAGAAAGACAGAAAGAGCGAGAAAGAGACATAGCAAAAAAGAAATAGAGCGAGAAAGAGAGAAAGCGAGAAAGAGAGAGAGAGAGAGACTCTGAAGAAAAAGGCTGCTGTAGTCTAAGGCTGCTGCTGCTGAAGGTGCTGCAGGTGTTGAGAGAACTACAGAACTTCCTGCGGCTGGAATTTATTTTCTAATTAAGGATTATCAACAGCTCACTGCTCAGCCAGCGCTGCCGGCCTGGGCAATTTTCAAACCTCTTCCATTTTTTAAAAAAAGACAGAAATAAGGCGAATATCTTCAATTCATTTTTTTTTTAAGAATTTTACTCCAGAAAACTGCTTAATCTGTTGGCTTTTTAAGTGAATGTTGTTAAAGGAATATTTCAACATTTTGCCTTAATTTTTTTCTATTGCAGTTTTTTTTGGTGCTTCCAAGTTACATGCAGTGAAAAAATAACTCTTATAGGCTTTTTGGGGCATAGAATGAGAGAACAAAATTGCTTTTAGAGACTCAAATATGCTGCTAATGCAGCAATGCAATGTTCTTCAACAGCTGTGCTATTATTTCCATCTTAGAACTGATAAAAAACAGAATAGCTGTAATCTTATAACTCACCTGAGACTATTTTACTGTGCTTGTTTTAATGTAGGTAGTGAGGTGTTAATTTATAATCATTTTCCACTGCAGTTGAGCTTGTGAAACCTCCATCCTCTCAGGTGTAGGAACACAGGTAACTGAAGATAATACTGCCAGAACACTAGCTATCAAACTAAAAAGTAATAATATTAGGCCACATTTGTTTGAGAATTTAATAAAATAAGATTTCACACATAATGATCTGTTGTATGCCTTGGAGAAGTCTGTAGGAGCTCATTTTGCAAAGCATATTACGTTAGAAGCATCTTACATTAGAAAACATTGTAATATCCCTTTAGGTTTACAAATACAGCTGAATACACTGCGTGTCTTAGGAAGCTGGTAGAGCTCCCCTGGGTCTGGACACAGGACAGCTTACCAGGACAGTTGTCAGTGTCTGCAGTACTACTACAGAGCTTTTTCATTCACATGGATCAAACCACAGTCATCTCTCACCTACTAAAGAATTCAGCTATTTTAAAACCACCTACTGGTCAACTCTGCTCTACAATATTGACTTGAATCAATATTTCATATCACCATCTACACTTACTATATAAATCTCTCCTCCCTCTCTCCCACTCATCTTCTTTCTGTCTCTCTGAGATGCGTGGTAGTTTTATGTGCTCCAGGACCTATGGTAGTCATCATAAACAAAGGACAGACCACAAGCGCTTTGACCAGGACACCAAGCAAGAGCTCAAGAACCAGGAATGGGTGAATATGGCAGAGACTTACTGTAATATAATTATCGGAAACACTGTTTTTTGGATGAATCACCATAGACGCTGTGTAGCTTGTCTGTAACTGACATTCAACTAAATATTTATTTAATTCAACCTAACTTTACCCTAACCCAAAACTTCACTCTAACCTTAACCATGAAACCTAAAACATGAACCTTTCCGTAACACTTTACTGTAGGGTACTGTTCATAAGGCTACATAACACCTACGTAAGCTTGTCATGACAACATAACCCTATGTAAATGTTTATAAATGCTTTTTCCAATTGACGTTATTCACTATAAAGGTTACACTTCCAATTTTTATCAGTTAGCTGAAGTAGCCCTTATGACAGATGATGCCTATTGGAATAAGCCTTTATAAATGTTTTTGTAGGGTTACGTCAATGCAAAAAACACACATGTCAATGGAGTTTTATTTTGCACCGTAACTTTTTTTTCTTGGTATCATGAAAATCTTTAACAATGTAAGCTTAAAAAGCATTAATAATGTAGGCACCTGACAGTGCTATATTGTTATATGTCTATAAACTACTTGTAGGTAAAATGTAAGCAAATAGGCTACTTATGGTAGATCATTACAAACCTTCAAAATGTGACCAATAGATTACTGTAAGTTATTAAAGACAACATTAATTAATCATATAAAGCTTTGCCTGGCAGACAAGCCACTGCTGGTAAGGACCCTGCTACTAAGCCTAACCTTAAACCCTAATTTTGTTGATAGCCAACTGAGTCAGATAGATTTTTAATAAATTGAGCATTTGAGCATTCACTCGAAAGAGGCCCCAAATATTCTGTAATAACTCTCGCCAGGACGAAGCAATCTGAACGAATGTGCAATGTGCTCCTCAGTGTGCTCCTCAGTATATGGAGCTTCGAACAAGCCGGGATGCACCTGTGTCGTTGCGATGAGGTAGGCGCCGGACAGCCATTGCCATGTTTAACCTCCGTTTGCAACTTCCGGGTGCATACCCCCGTACCCCTTCATGTGTCTGGCAGAAAACGGAGATCACTTCCAGAATCACATGTAATGCAATCGATTACACATACGTCAAGGTATGAAGCATATTTTTTTTGGTTCAGATTGCTTCATCCTAACGGGAGTAACAACAGAATATTCGGGGCCTCTTTCGAGTGAATATCCCTGTACAATTACACTCTACATAGAGCATAACATGGACTGTATGGGGTGTAGGTGACCAACAAAATTAAGTGCAATCATATTTTGGTTTCTTCTTCATAAGCGTATGTGTTCCCAACCTTGGGCCTGGAGGCCCCCTGCTCTGCACATTTTAGTGCTTTCCCTGATTTAACACACCCACTTTAACAAAGTAAGAGGCTGTTAATGAGCTGATTAGTTGGACCAGGTGTGCTGGGAGCACGAAAAATACTAAAATGTGCAGGCAGTAGGTCTCCATGACCAAGGTTAAGAAACACTGAATTAAGTGATCTTTCTTACTGTTGTTTCAGCCCACAGTCACTTTTTCCAGTCTGTACTCTTCAGCCAGGTTCCCTGTCTACCTCCTAGACATGACAGTAGCTGAGACTCTGTGGCTGTCATAATATATCAACTGCTGGATCAACATCTGGCCTTGACTGCCTCTCGGATGCAGCACTCAAAAATCATAATCCTGTCTTGGAGCCGTGTCTGCGATCAGATCTCCTCTATGCCGGCCAGAGCTTTCCACGGAGAAGCCTGGAGGAAGAGGAGTGCAGAAAGACTGCTTGATAGAGTTCTATTGTCAGTGCGAGGTGCCACTGAAACAGGTTGAGTAGGAAGATCCCCTGCTGAAGATGTGTCCCCTTCTGCCTCCAGCACGGCACTGCAAGACTGTCACACACACAAATACACAGCTGACAGTGCCCCACTCTTATCTTAGCGTTCCACTGTAACAGCATGTGCACCAGCTTTGCTCCATTACACAGGCACTTGCCGTGGTGCCTCTGTATTTAGCTCTGCTGGAAGCAGAACTATCTGATACAGAAAGGTAAGGATGTTGTGTTCTGAATTTCATCTTGTGAATGAAAAAGAGAAGGGAGTTAATCTGCCTCCTTCTTGATGTGACATTCAAGTTGTAAGGAGTGAGCACTTGGGATTTCATCTAAAAAAAAGAAAAGAAAAAACTGAAGCCCAGACTGGCTGACAAATAAACGAAGAGCTTCAAACTCTTTCAAATATTTCTCCTGGTCTCAAACTGCCCAAACATTCCTTTGACGCCACCTCAGTTGGACTAAATGTGTGTCAATAAGAATAAAATAGTTCTCTTTAAACTCTTCTCATGTAACCTGTGCATGCTGTTCACTTGAAAACGGAACAGAGAAGTTTAAGTGATCATCTTCAATGCTGCTACAGTGAATGGATGAAAAGTGAGTGTTCATATTCCATAATAGTGTGCCAGAGATAGATAATTAGGAAGAGATCTGGTGGTGCTGAGACTACATACTGCGAGAAGACTGGGCTAATTACCAGCACCCAGCAGCATTGTCCAGCTTAACAAACACATACACATTTATTTATGGTCTGTAAAGGTCACACACATGTGCAGACACTCACACACGTATAAGCATCCACAAAACAAGCATACAAACACACACAGGCATACATGTAGGGGTGAGCGGGGCATAGACTATTACAGGGGTTAAACGTAACATGCATATTTTATAACATAATTTCTTTAGTTTATGTAGTTATATTATTTTACAGTTTTTTGTTTCAATGTCCACTATGAAGATCATAAACGTAACTAAGTCAAATTTACCCCTATATTATTTTAATCGCCTTCTACTGGCTGGCTGCAAAATAGCACTATTTTGAAGAATATAACCAACTCACAGTGAGAGCCAGACAGGCTAAAGTACAGCCTTCACATGGGGTGGTTAAATTTAATGCAGTGTAAGGTTAGGTATAATGCAGTGTTAACTAAATCTCCTAAAATAAACAATGGGAGACATCCATATCCTCCCATATAAATTTAAAATAGTCATTTTTTGAAATTGTTTATACAATGATTAATCAGAAATGTACTATAGATCATTTCCATTTTCTTGTGCTGTTAAAGCTTAAATTGTCATTTATAAAACAGATGTGGAGGTTGTTTGTGTAAAAATATATATCTTGCTCAACTACTTTTAAAATCATTAAGCAAAAACTATAAATCAAAAACTGTTATTGGTTATGTTTCACTCTCACCTGGTGGATAACATACAATACACATTAACATCTTTTCAGATACAGATCACAAGTGTCTTTAGCCAAACAAAAGGCTGACCTGCATTAAATAGGACTGAAATATTTAAACATTCATAGCATAGCATTAGCTTTATTGTTTTTATTGTTTCTTATTAATATTATATAAATTGTTTTTATTGTTGTGTATTTCTTTAATATCTTAAAACATTTTATTTTATTATTTTATCTTTACTTTGGAATCTTTATTTTAACAATCTTAATTTATGTGTTTTCTTTATTCTTCCTGTGGCTCTCGGCTATACTGTAAATGAGGTCGACCCTCTATGTAAACCAGTGGTTAAATAAAGAATGATGATGATGATGATGATGATGATGATATCCACTGTATGAAAAAGCGCACTGCAGAGAGGCTGATGCTGATTGGATGGTTATAATGGAGCGGGTGAGGAGATGCTCCTCAATGTGTGTTTGTGTTCAGACAGAGGAGCATTTAATATGGCATATTCCATCACAGGGCAGAGAACAGGAAGTAGAGAGAGCAACATCTGCCCGCCCATCTGCTCCACCCGACTACAAGACAGCATAATCACACACACACGCACACACACAAACACAGAGAAACTCCCACAGCATTCAGCCGCCAAGCTCCATCCCATTACATAATCATAATCTCTCTTTCTCTGTGAACCCCTCTCTCTCTCTCTCTCTCTCTCTCTCTATACATATATATATATATATATATATATATATATATATATATATATATATTATGGCATGCCGTTTAGGAAATTTTATTTATATGAATATATGGAGTGGAACCTAAGAATATGGAATGAAACTTGAAAATATGAAATGAAAGTCTATGTTTATGAAAGTCTGAACATGTTTTTAATGTCAGAAAAGCAGGAGGCATATTTAACAGCCTCCAACACTAAGTATAATTTCACATGTATCAGTATGTAATACAAATAAATAAAGTCAAATCATAAAACTAACAAGTTAGAGCTGTGTTTCACAACAGCCGTTCCTAAAGGTGTCACTGACACTAATATTCAAAAAAGAAACAACCCAAACACACCTTAGCTGCCCTGCAGATTTCTTTCTTATGTGCATCTAAAATGGCTAAAGGAGATATTTCTGAGGAGATTAGGTATGCATTAAGAAGAGTAAAGTCTTGAGAAAAAAAAGGGTTTCCAAAACTGGAGTTAACTTTTATAGTTGAAAATTATTACAAAATATAGAGAAAGTTGGACCCCCTAACAACCAATAAACAGTACTTAAATCTATCATCGTTTAGAGAGAGGATAAAGTCAAGCTTCACTCTTGCTTCAGATCTGAAAAAATCCACAGGTGTTTCTGTCCATCCTTCCACTGTGAGAAGACAACTCAACACTATGAGTCTGAAAAGATGTGTAGTTGTCAAGAAGCTGTTATTGAGAAATCGACAAAAGAATTGAAGGAAATCAACAAAAAAGAACATCTGCGCTAGACCACTGGAAATATGAAATGTGGAGTAAGAAATGCAACCAATATTTCAGACTAAAAAAAAACCATCTCCGCAGATTTCTTTGAAAAACTGAAAGCAAATCTCCTAAAAAAGAACAGAAGCTGTAATAAAGAGAAAACAGACTTTCTAAATACTGAAAAGTATTATGTTTAGGTGTTGAGGCTTATGCGTAATTTTAAAAAATTAAATAGTTTTTTCCTAACGATGACAAATGAATAACTTGTACTTAATGGCCATTTTGACTAGAAGACAAAAAAAGAAAAGGCCGTCTCCAATGTCTGCACAGTACTCTATATATAGACGGTAAGAATAGGGTGTATCTCATGAGATGCCGTTCCTCAGTAGAATGTAGAAACTCCATGGGGAATGACTCCTCCACTGTGGGGGTAAACACATTGTCCTCAGCAGCATCGTTGCATATAAAACACTCATCTCTCCTCCTGCCTCTACGCTCAACCACAGGCTTCTAGTTAACCAGCCTGTTTCTCAGTACCAGAGTGTCCATTCCCCAAGGGCTGGCAGATATACTCAGGGCTTTTGTAATGCAGTTATGCCTGAAAAAGTCGCACTATATGTTGAAGCCTTAGCTGTAGGATTATTCATGACATACTAAATTCAAGAGAAGGATCATATTTATATAGAATGTAGGTCAGTGAACGTAATATTGTAACCCCATAATATAGTAAGACCTTACAAATTTCACATTTAACATGGCTGGTAATGTGCAGAATACTGAAGTAGTTTTTTACACTCCTATCATGAGCTGTGATTCAACTGCCTGTACATATGACCGGACCCAATGCAGCCAATTTAAAATGATGTTCACATGGGACATGCCAGTCAGCAGAACTATACTTAAAATAGACAAGTATGTTGGTGTATCAAAGTTAGAGAGAGAGAAAGAGAAAGAACCCAGCTGGGAGAAAAGAGGGATGAGGAACGTTGTAGAAAGAGAGATTAAAGAGGAATGAGAGATGGGCTGGATGGCAGACAGACAGAAAGAACAACAGAGGAATGCGGTTGCCTAATTAGTCCAGTAGTGCCGCTGGTTAGCTCAGAGAGACATGAGGGCATTACATCTGCTGTCTGGGCTTTTGCTTTTGAATATAGCCTTAACAGTGCCAACAGCAGCAGTGTAAAAACAATGCGGTTCTGTGGGCTAGCCTTACATACTTACACTAATACATCACAGACATGCAATCCATCTATCCATGCTCATTCTTAGCAACTGCTGCAAGGTTGGACAAGCTTTATAGAATGTTGGCAAAAATGCCATTCATGCTAATGAGTAACTAAAGAGCACAATTCAGATTTTGTCAGAATGCACAAATTATTCAGATTAGACCAGTACAGTCTTTAGTTTAGAGACACTACATAACACTGAGTTTCCAGTTTAAAACGTTTTACTACCGAGCAGAACTGTGTTGTTGTAGCTAATCGAAACTAGCAGGTGTGAAACAGTAACAACAGAGAATTTGCTACGATGCTAATGTTAGCTCAGTTCCAGGCCAAAGAAACTATCCCCGTTCATAACAGTGTGACCTTTCACATACACAGTAATAAATGTTAAGCTTCCAGTTCAAAATGCTGTGCTATCGAGCTGCACTATGATTTTTGTGGCTAATCAAGAACTATGCAGATTGGAAATGACAATGATTCATTTGCTACCGTGCCAAGATTAACTGGACTACACCATGAAAAAACTATACCCAGTGTATCCCAATGGTGTGACCTTTCACAAACATACAAATAATGTTGAGTTTCCAGCTCAAAATGCTATGCTAACATACAGCCAACCTGCATTATGTTGTTACAGCAAATCAAAAACTAGGCAACAATGACAAATTTGCTACCAAGCTAGCATTAGTTGAATGACACCAAAAAACACCTGATCTATCCTAGCTAGAGATGGCACAATACTACTCTTTTTTTCAGAACCAATATCAGGAGTAAAACCTGAGTATTGGCTGATACTGGCAATTTTTTCTTTTTCTAAGGTACTAAGCTTTAAAATGAGCTATTTTCAATTGAAGTGCTTCAATTCAATCCTCTAAGATGGGCATCTAAAAGTATACTATCACGCTTCAACTTCTCAAACACTCTACTACCCCACAGGAAGAAATACAGAGCTAACATCACATTACACCATGTGAGTGTGTGCTACTTCAGGCTAAATTTGTAAAAGGATTGGATTCATTTTTTTTTCCCTTGTGATCCGATCTAGCATTTTCTGCTGATATTGGCCTGATACCTGGTATCAGATTGGTACCATCTCTAATCCTAAGAGTGTAATCTTTCACATGCACACAAAATGCATATCATTTGAAATAAATGACTCATTCTAAATGCAGGTATTTCAAAAACAGCATGAAAAGGATTGCTGGCGTTCTGTAAAGCTTGTCCAACCTGAACAGTTGCTACGAAAGTATGGGTTGTGTGTGGAGCACGGATAGGTCGACTACAGGCACACACAAAGGTTCAGGCTGCTCATCCTACCTGTATGTGATATGCTTGTGTTGCCACTTCTGTCCCGTGAGGGCGTAGCGTCGTTTCCGTACGCTGAATTTGGAGGCACCGCCAAGCTGGTCTGGTACCCCACACCGGGGCTTTTTCATCCAGCTACAGCAAAGAAAGACGGAGAGAAAAACATGGAGAGACAGGCCTGGATTACTATTACACTCATCTCATCACTCAGCTACACATTGGCAACCACCACACTAAATCAGCTAGATATAATAATAGATGGAGAATCATCTGTATTCCACACACATTACTTTACTATCTGGAAGAGTGTAAGGAATAACAACTACGAAAGCTTCATTCAGAAAAAAGAACTGCAACAATTCTTCAGTGCCTCTGTCGGCATTGAAGTGTTGGGCCACAAATGAAGCAGCACATCTAAGTCCTCCACATCTAAGCCACTCTTCTGACGGGGGGATGAGAGAGAGTGAGCACTCTTTCAGAAGCTTCATTATACATGTCTGAATGTGTGGGTACGTGTCCAAGAATGTGTATGAGAGTGAGAAAGTAATCTGTATCTGAAATGTCTTCAAAAGGCATCTCATCGTAAATGTGTCAGGTAGCTAAGAGCTCAGCAGAATTTATGTGTGAATGTGTGTGCGTGTGTGTGTGTAGGTGTTTGCATATGACTGTGTGTATGTTTGAGTTAAACATCTGTCTATGACCTCCTTCTTCAGAGCATGGCTCCCCACCTAAATCTCTCACATTTACTACAGTAATGTGTTACAGAGAGAGAGAGAGAGAGATAGAGAGCTGCTATAAGCCTGTTCAACACCTGTCACTTGATATACAGTTGTGAGATGTGTAAATTACGAATGAATGGCCCAGTGTACACACACACACACACATACACGCATAGACACACAACTACCCTAACAGCAAAAAACAAATGCACAATAGAAGAATCAGTGCCTCACCTTATAGTGTTAGCGCTACATCATTACACAGAAGCAAAAAAGGAAACAAAAGGACACAACAATTAAGATATTAGAGGGGCAAAAGGCGTTAGCTGTTGAAACATCACATTGTGCAGGGCGTTGATTAGATTTAGCACATCAAGTGTGCACTCCGGGAGCAAAATATGCCATGGCTCAGTGGAGCAATTTAGGCCTCCGGGTATCAAACAGAACTGAACGAGGCAGAGCAGGTACTACACACTCACTGAGAGAGAGAAAAGGAGGGAGAGAAAGAGAAAGAGAGAGAGAGAGAGAGAGAGAGAGAGAGAGAGAAAGAGAGAGAGAGAGAGAAAGAGCAGGTACTACACACTCACTGCTCAATGAGAGAGAGAGAGCACGTACTACACACTCACTGCTCACTGAGAGAGAGAAAGGGAGGGAGAGAGAGAGAGAAATAAAGAGAGAGAGAGAGAGAGAGAGAGAGAGAGAGAGCAGGTACTACACGCTCTGAAAAAGAAAGAGAGAAAGATAGAGAGGGAGACAGAGAGAGGAAGATACATAGACAGGTTGACAGAGAGCATGACAGAGAGACAGTATTACAGAGAGACAGAACAAGTGACAGGTGAGAGAGAGAGAGAGAGAGTAAGAGAGAAACAAAGAGAAAGAGGGGGAAGCAGATAGATAGATAGATAGATAGAGAGTGAGAAAGAGACAAAGATATACATAGAGAAAGAGAGAGAGAGAACAGGAGTAAATGAGAGTAAGAGAAAAGGTAAAAGAGAGAGAATGAGTGAGAGAGAAGGAGGGAGAGATAGATATAAAGATAGAGAGGGGGAAAGACATGTTCCTTTCTCACTTAGGGCTTGCCCAAGTTTTGGGTAATATCCCGCTAACAGCTTTGATCAGTTCAGAGCGCTGCGCCAGTTCTAAAGGCAACTTTGATCAAATGATAACGCGTGACTTAAATCACGTCCCTCGCACTTTCACAATCCTGAATTGTTTCCTGTGAACAAAGGCGCCAATCTATAGCCATCTGTGGCACTGAGTGAGTGGCCAGGAGCCGGGTGATGCCAATGTGTAAGTCTGAATAGTATTTAATTTGTTTTTTGTTTTTGTGTTTGTTTTTTTTATCTGTTTGGCTGTGGTTAATGTAAGACCCGGACTGCTGCTGAAGAAACTGCCTCTCAGGGACAAATTATGTGGTACTGAATTGAATTAAACTAAAAATACTGTAGGCTACTCACTCGATGGTGTTCTTGTCCAGAGCGCCGGTGACGTTGAGGCCGTACAGCCGCTGCATGGCAGCGATAGCAGACTGCATGGTCTGCGCCGAGCGCAGGACAGACATTCTGGGGTCTGTGGGGGGGAGGTAACCATACCGCTGGAGCCATGCCTGCAGGACACAAGAGACAGGAGCCAAAGGTCAACTAGGGGTCAACAGCTACAGTCAGCCCCCGGAGCCAATACCGCATTACTGAGCACAAAACTAACGCTGCTACAGACGATCAATGCTGAGAATGTGTCTTGCTGACGAATGCTTGACTGCTGCAATTACTTTAATCGCTGCTATTACTAGGTCAAACATAGCTTTTGAATTAGTTTTGATTTATAGTTTATGGGAAATGAGCAATCTTTATAATGCTACTTTGTGTCAGGGTAGACTGGTCTTTGAGCACATACACGCACACACATACGCATGTACACACACACACACACACACACACACACACACACACACACACACAACAACAATAAACCCCGGGGGCTACTGTTTTGAATAGATTCGCTCATTTGACCTGCCTGCTGCCCGCTGGCACACATCTCCATAAACTAGGGCTGTACTGCACTCATCCTAGCACTCTGTGTACTTGTGTATATGTATGTAACATCTCAAAAGCTCTTTCTGTATGTGAAGGAGCCTGATCTCTGCTCAGCCTGGGTGGGCTCAGCTCTTTTCACTTCAGTTCTTATCCAACATGTGGGAGTGCACTCAGTCATGCACTAGCCCATGGGTAAAAGAAAGAAACTCATTTCGGTTTCCAAAAACATTCATAAGCTTTATATCAGATGTTTTCTTGCATGCACTGCAAGATGCTATCCCTGGCTCATTTGCACCTGAGAGCATTTAAAGGGCTCATATCATGGGAAAGCAAATTTCCCTCGTTTGTGAAATAAACTTTGAGTTTGATGTAGTATGTAAACACTGTTAACGTTTCAACAGATGCCATTCACTCCCCAGTCTATATCGTCCATATATGGAAACTAAAACAGTCCAGTTTAAAATCATTGCTTTTGTGATGTCACAAAGAACTACTAATTTACAAACACCTATTCTGTCTACAGGAGTTTAGTTCAGCTCATTTAAATGAAAGGAATAAGGGGTGTTTAACCCAGAATGTTGCTCCAATCAAAATACGGCATGTACATATATAAGTCTTATAGGCACGGTTACATATTCAGCCTGTTTTAACTGTAGGGAATAAGGAGATGTAGGAAAACTGTTGTAAAAATGTATGAACTATGACTATTTTTGGTACATAAAACCAAAACAACATTGTAAGTGGACCTAAAGGGAAAAAATAGAGTACAAGAAAAATGCAGGATATGGGCTCTTTAATATAATTCTGTAAAAATGTGCAGTACGTGGTCTTTCTGAAGGCTTAGGCTTACTACTGAGAGCCCCCAAATCCTAACTGTATTTTTACACAGCCAGAGAGAGCAAGAGAGCAAGAGAGCCCTACACACAGCACAATCTCCACCTCAATCAGTACACACACAGAGAGAGAGAGAGAGAGAAAGAGAGAGAGAGAGAGAGAGAGAGAGAGAGAGAGAGAGAGATCGCAGTATTAAAGTAGGAATGTTAGGATAACGCAGTGTTAGGATTGTTTGATGCTGAAATAGCAGCAACAGGCACTTATGGTTGTGGAGATGAGAACTAATTAAACCAAACATTCCACTGTATAATTATTTGATGTTTGCCAGAATAGCACTAGTTTAGTGAGAGAGTAAGTGACACAGAAGGAAATGAAGAAAATATTTCTTCAGTAGGAGGTCAAACATGTTCTATGAACTTTTTCAGAAATGGCATATCCATGCTCTTCCCACAAACACAGTCTTTCATAGAAACTTTTGCCAGGTTGGACAATTCCTTTAAATGTAAAGAGAAATTGTAATACACTTTTTATAGTAACTAAATACTATGCTACTGATCTGGACTAGTAACTGTAGTAACTAATCAAAAATATGCAGGTTGGAAATGAAAATGACAAATATCCATCCATGCTCATCATGTCCACCTGATTACATGACAAACAAAAGCTCAGTTACATTAAGAAGACTATTCACATGTATACAAAATCAATGTTAATCAGTTAGAATTTCTATTAGGATGAATGAGATTTTCGCATATGTTCTGTAAAGCCTGTACAACCTCACAACACTTGTCAAGAAAGAGGGCATGTGTGGACAGAGCAAGGATAGATCAATTGCTAGCATTTTAGCATTTAACCCGATAAAATGCACAAACTTGCAATTTCCACCTTGTTTAAAGGTCACTCAGCTGAACTGTGCATTTTTCCCTTCGAATACATTGATGAAATATATTCAGAAGGAAATGTGTATGATTTACAAAACTGGAAGCAAAATGTATTTTAATTTTTGTAGGTGAATAATAAAGTCAATATTTATAAAAGTGTTTCTACTGTGTTTTTAACATGACTTTTACTATGAAAAAAGCTGCAGCTGTGCTGTCCATTTTATCTCGGCATAGCTGTCTCTGTGGAGAGCTGTATATTGTTTTCACAGCAAGGGGTTCTCACCTCTTCCTTTTCACCCCTCATTGCTCACCTGCAGCTCAACAAAGCACCATAGCTCATCATAGAATTTCACCCAAAGAGTTAACAGCATCTTAGTTATTTTATTATTTATTTATTTTTTATTTTATCTGATAGAGTTAGTTTTTTTGGATTATATTCATTGAAAATATAAATCAATTTTCATTCCGCTGGTGGAATGGCCACTAAGGGGTCTGCAATAAGAGATTAAAGCAACATTTCTTACTGGACTTATCTGAAACAGCATCCAAAAAAGGCCCAATAAATGATACAAAGTCCATCAAGCCTGGTACTCAAGAGGAATATTGCTATATTTGAGAAATTGCTTGAATTGGACATCAAGTGCATTCTGCTGAACACTGTGAAAATATCAATTACAGGTAAATACAAATACAAATAAATACAGAAAGGAAGAAAAACATAAGATAGGTGTGTTGTACCCATCATTACTGTCATCATGATCATCATCATCATCATCATCATCATCACCATAACACCATAATTTACCCTACTTACCCCTTTAATCCTGATTTACCCAAAACTGTATGAAAAACGTGTCCACTAGCAGACGTGCTTGCATGTGCGTGGGATAAGGCAAGAGTAGTTAGAAGGCTGTATCTGCCTTTAACCACTGAAATCTCTCCTATAAACTGATTTATACCCAGAATAGAACAGAATAGAACAGAATAGAATAGAACTTTATTGTGCAACATAATTGGACTTAAGTTTTCTTTCTTCCTCTTGTAACAAAATAGCACAACAGCACAAAAACAATATGAACAACATAATACTAAAACAACATAATCGTCAAAAAACCATACCCACAAATCACCCTCATCTGATAACAGTGAAGGCATCCAGCAGTTCTCTCTCTCTTTCTCTCTTTCTGTACTCACTCCCTACTGTGCTTGACTATTTGATTAATAAAGCTTCTCCACTGACAGATCCACAAGCTGAGATATCAAACATAAATCACTCCATCTGGTTTGTGTATCTCTTTTCTTTACTGTGACACAAAGATACCCAGATATAAACCCAACAGAATTGGCCACCTGGCTAATTTGATCCACAAAACATGACTCAATACACCGTGTGTGCCAGCGTAGCAGATAATTGGTAGCAGTGTGCTACCAGTGTGTAGATTAAAGACTTCCGTCCCAGGAAAAGTTTGCATATGTGACAAAAACAAATTCATTTCACCCCAAATACTAAGAACAATTATATTCAAATTGGGTCCTGAGTGTCAAAGTGTGTGAATGTCATTCAACATTCTCACCCTCCTGCTATGCTTTCTCTTTACTCACTCTTTTATTTGAAAAAGTATGCTTGCTGTTCTTTCACCACTCGAAGCTGATGACAGATCTATTACAGAAGATAAGAGATAAGATGCTCACCTGCAGTCTGCTGAGGTTAGAATAGAATAATAGCAATTACAGTTTTTGCTTTTATGTAAACAGAAAAATCCTGTTATCAATCCTGGCTGTTTTCACTCAGCACCCTCCTTGCTTTGAAACAAGAATAAGCGCATCTGGGGTTGAAAAATCCATATTCATCAAAAGGAAGCAAAGACATAGCACAGTATCAGACACATTTCACCTTCAGTGGCTGAGCATGTGGCAGCATTTGTTGTGATGGAAGTCAGGTATAACGTAGAGCTCAAGCAGTGTGTACAGACAGAATGAAGAGAAGCCACAAACAACTGTTTTGGGTTTGGTCAAAAGGCACTGTGTGGAGGCATCTCTGCCTCATTACACAATCATTCTCTTGCATACACTGATGTAAGCTACCAGCATCTAGACATTGGGCTGGTTAATTACTTAGCTTTGGGCTTACATACATATTTGTTTTGGGTGTTCACACCCAAAGGTCACACTTTCTTTTGGTGGTCCTCTTAGCTACAAATGTTCGAATGGGTCTCCTAACAACGATGGAAGACCTGGTAGATCACAAAACTCACCATCAGATAAACACTTTCGCTCCTTTAAACTAAGCTTTCATCTTTGAGAGAGATAGGAAAAAAACAAGCTCCACTCTCGCTTCAGATCTGAAAAAATCCACAGGTGTTTCTGTTCATCCTTCCACTTTCACACTATGGGTCTGAAAGGATGTGTAGCTGTCAAATCAAACAGAGAAGCTATCCACGCTCTCAAAACAATGGACATTGAATGTGTTTGGGATTACTTGGTTTGTGAGAAGCAGAAAATCCAACCAACTTCTAAGACTGAACTTTGGAGGTTTGGAAAAATATTCCTGCAGATTTCCAAGAAAAACTGAAAGCCAATCCAATCTTCCAAAAACAGTGGAAGCTGTAGTAAAGGCAAAGGGTGGACACATTAAATACTGAACTCAATATTATCTTTAGTTGTTGAGACTTCTGAGTAATGTTTTGTTAAATATATCGTCACTGTCCAATGAAAAACATGTATCTCCAAAATAGTAACTTTACAGGAGAGGGCAAAAATATTCTTTACTTTCAATGTAAGTTAATGGAAAAAAAAATATTCTAAGCAATTTTGGAGCATTTCTATTGGTCCATTCATCATGAAATTTTCACACAATG